TTTCTACAGGATTCTCATTCCTGGTGTGTAAGAACATAACTGATCTTATGACCTGAAAAATTGCTTGTTCTATGTATGATCTCTTAGTTGTAACTCTACTGAAATATAAACTCTACCCATAAATGTTTTTGGAAGGTGCTTGGGAGAAATGGGCCCTATAGATTTCTCTAAGGCAGCTACACAACGTAGTAAAGATACATCTTAGCCCAAGGCTTTTGAGGTAAGTGAAGATAAAAACTTCAGTGTTCCCTCATAATGCTGACCTACCTGAATATCAATAATAAACCAGTAGATGATTGGTAAGTACTTAATGAGACTTTATTTCTGAGAGCATTTACTTATTCTGACATTCAAGAAGAATGATACTTCACAAAAGTCAACTTTTCCAGTAGCTTTAAAGACTTTTTCTTTTAAGTTGCCATACTTTTCTTTTGGTCTCAAGTACTTTAAAGAAAATTGTTGTATTTTTACTAGTGGGCAAAATTACTGAAACTCTATTATTGGGCGAAATTACTGAAACTCTTTTATGTGCCACACATTTAATATAATGAAGAATATACTACAAAAGGTACATGTGAAATTCTCGGGAGGGTAGACTAGACATAAACGTAACAAGAAAATTGCCAGGTGCTTCCACATAGACGATTAAGATGGGGTATCCCCAAACTGGGATATTTGGGGTCTTTGTCAAAATCAACCATGCCACTTTTTTCTGTTAGAGTGTTTCTACTTTTCAAATTAGTCTAGAGCAGAAATCGCAGAACTCAAAAATTCTTAATCAGCTCAGCTTTCTTTTATCCATTTATTCTCTGGAAAACAAAATCACAATAGATATTATAATAATGTCAGGTTGCTGGTTGCAAGATTACTTTTGCTGTCTTTCGTTGTCTCCCTTCCCAGCTTTCTATCTGCTTATTTGTTGATTTTTGGCATATTTAAGCACCAATTACCATTTTGCAGGTGCAGGTTCAAAGAATTTTTGCCCTCTGCTGAACATCTACCTAAGGTCAATAGGGGTTTTGCATCAATTTCCTTCCATACACTCCCTCCTTTTTCTGGGGAAATAAATGATTGGCAGTAATGTCTACCTGCCATGCTTTCATTGTGGATTTATGGAATGTTTTATGCCTCAACATCTTCCAGCTGATTTCTGATCATTCAGATCAGCACGATCCCATTTCCTCAGCACAGCCTTCCATGACCAGCAGTTGTGGGAATTCCTTGGTCAGCAGCCCTCTGTAGACCTGAGGGGCTGTAAACCTGTCATGGTGTTTTTCCTCTTACAAAAACATAGAACAACAAATTGTACCTGTTACCTAGGGCTCTCAAGTTTACATCAAACTCCTATCTCTGCGTACAGTAACGTCTTAAAAAAACCAATAGGAAATTACTGTATAAGAAATGAATCACTTAAAGAGTGAAAATTTTCAGTGCAAAATCTCTACAAAACTATGCCAGATATCATTTAAAATGCATCTTTAAAATGAATTCAATTAATAAATTTTGTTTACAGCAGAGACATAATTTCATTTGTAAGTTCTATTCTGTTTCACTATATGCAACATGCCTAGAATGAAATTGACCAATTAACATTGTAACTGACCACATAGTTTCAGAGAGATATTATAGTTTAGTCTGAACATTTTCTTTAAGAACACTCTCTGGTACACATGGTCTTTGTATGTTTCTAACCCCTCCCCTGCATCTCTGGCTATGGTCCTGCTCTCCATTTATGAGTCTGTGCCCATTTTCCTTGTTAGTTCAGTTTCTTCGCTGATTCCACCTATGAGTGAAATCATTTGGTATTTGTTTTTCTCTGACTGGCTTATTTTACTCAGTGTGATGTTCTCTGTGTCCATCCATATTGTCACAAAAGGTAAAATTTTCTTCTTCTTTTTATGGACAAGTTATATTCCATTGTGTAAATGTCCCACAGATACTTTACTCACTCATCTATTAATGGACACTTTGCCTCCATATCTTGGTGATTGTACAGAACATTGCAGTGAACATATGGGTGCTTATGTTTTTTTGAATTAGTGTTTTGGTTTCCATTGTATATATACTCAGAAGTGAAATCACTGGGTCCAAAGGAGGGTCCATTTTTAACTTTTTGAAGTATCTCCATGCTGATTTCCACAGTGGTTGCAGCAGTTTGCACTCCCACCCACAGCACAAAAGTGTTCCCCATTCTCCACACTCTTGCTGGCACTTGTTGTTTGTCAGTTTATAGATGAAAGCCAGTCTGACAGGTGTGAGATGATAGATGACCATAGTTCTAATTTGCATTTCTCTGATGGTTAGTGATGTTGAGCATCTTTTCATATGTGTCTTGGCCATCCGTATGTCCTCTTTGGAGAAGTGTCTATTCAGACCCTTTGTCCAGTTAATAATTGGCTTCTTTGTTTTTTCTGGTGTTGATGTTTGTAAGTTCTTTATAAATTTTGGATATTCAGCCTTTATTAGAAGTATTGGTGAATATGTTCCTCCCTACTGTGGGTTATTTGTAGATATTTTGTGGATGTTTTCCTTTGTTGTGCAAAAACTTCTCAGTTTGATGTAGTTACATTTGTTAATGTTTGTTTGTGGGTTTTCCTTGCCTCAGGAGATATGTGTGCAAATATATTGCTATGAGCAAGGCCTGAGGTTGTGCTGCCTAAGTTTTCTTCTAGGATTTTTATGGTTTCAGGTCTAATATCTATTTTTTAATCACTGTTGAATTCATTCTTCTGTTTGATGTAAGAAGATGGTCTAGTTTCATATGTTTTCTGTGTATATCTGTCCAATATCCCCAAAAGCATTTATTGTCTCGTTCTCGGTGTTAAGAGAAACACTTGTAGTTTTTGTCTGTTGAGTGTGATTCTGGCAGTGGGTTTGTCATAAGTTGCCTTAGTTATACGTAGGTATGTTCCCTCTGTTCCCACTTTGCTGAGATTTTTTTTCATAAATGGGTGCTGGATTATATCAAATGCTTTTTCTGCATCGATTAGTATGATCTTGTGGTTTTAGTCCTTCATTTAGTTTATGTGATGGATCAGATTTATTGATTTGTGAATGTCGTACCTGCCTTATATTTCTGGAATAGATCTCACTTGATCATGGTGTATGACTTCTTCTTGTGTTGCTCTATTCAGTTTGCCAATGTTTCTTTGATGATTTTTAGTGTCTATGTTTACTTTTTTGTAGTGCTTTTATCAAGTTTAGAAATGGAACAATGAAGGCCTAGAAATAGAGTTGGTAACCTCCTTCCACTTAAATTTTTTGAGATAATTTGAGAAGCAGAGGTGTTGGGTCCTTCCAGAATGTTTGATAAATTTTGTCTGTGAAGTTACCTAGCCCAGGGCTTTTGTTTATTGGGAATTTTCTGATTGTTGCTACAATCTCACTAGGTTCAATCTATCTACTCAGAGCCTCTGATTGTTGGGTGCCATACTGCCTGGCTTCAGGAACTGTAGCCTTTTGTCTCATGGGTAAAGGCCTTGGGGACATGAGCCACTAAGGAGACAGAACATTTCCTCCTGGCAGAAGTGCAGTCCCTGCCTCCCTCACTTTCCCCTGCTTTGCCCAAGTGGGTGACAGCTTACCCAACAACAGGTAAGATCCCTCAAAGGAGAAGGGACAGCATAAGACAGGCACTGTCATGATGGGCCATCAGGGAAGGACTCAGGGGTCTTCAGAGAAGGGGCATAAAGACCCTCTCCCCTTGGCTTTGTCACAGCCCAAGTCCTCAGTCTTTCTGCAAAAGTGTCCTAGTCTCTTGGCTGCTTTGCTCTCCTTGACTGACTCAGCCTGGGAATTATGCCAAAGACCTTGTACTGGATCAGAGGGCTCCTCAGAGAAAATCTGGCCAGGGAAAGAATGTATGTTGTTTCCCTTGAGACCTGCTCTGCCCTGTTGCTGTGAAACAGACACTTGAGCAAAAGCCAACTCTGACCAGAGACAATTCCTGTGTCTTTTCAACTATTATCTATAAATGATGCCAGAGCATGCTGAGCACTGGTTGAGGAGATTTTCGTGCATACTGTGTATGTCTGTGTGAGCTAAACTCAATAAAAACGCAGGGAAGAAGGTATTCAGGACCTTTCTCCTTTGAGGTACTGGTCACCTTTCCTCCCCAAGCAAATCTTGCATTGAGCATTTTTATTTTTCATCCAGGATGACCATGGGAGTTCTACTGGTGGAGGCCCCCATCAGTTTTTCCAGATATTTTGTGTCTAGAAATGTACCCATTTATCCAGGTTGTCTAGGGTATTAGAATAGTTTTTCCTTATGTTTTCTTTCAATCCTTTGCATTTATTTTTTCTCTCAATGTGTCTGGTTAGAGGACTGTCAATATTCTACTTTCAGAAAACCACCTGTTGGGTTCATTGACCTTTTATATTGTTTTTTTGGACTGTCATATTTCTTTCTTCCCTGATCTTTATTATTTCTTTCCTTATAAACACTTTATAGCCAAGAGCGGGAAGCAACCTAGGTGCCTGTCAGTAAGTGAATCGATCAAAAAATTATGGTACATATACACAATGGAATTCTATGCAGCAGAAAGAAAGAAGGAGATCCTATGCTTTGCAACAACATGGATGGAACTGGAAAGTATTATGCTGAGTGAAATAAGTCAGGTGTTGAAGGACAAATACCATATGATCTCACCTTTAACAGGAAGCTAAACAACAAAACAAACAAGCAAGCAAAATAAAAACAAAGACACTGAAATAGAGAACAAGGGGACAGTGACCAAAGGGGAGAGGGGAGGGAATTTCAGGGGAAAAAGAGAAAGGATTTATAGGAACTAGTATAAAAGACACATGGACAAAAACTAAGGGGGGTAGAAATGGGAGGGAGGTGGGGAGCACTGCGGCTGTGGGCTGGTATGGGAGTAAAAAACAGAAAACTGTACTTGAACAACAATTAAATACATTTTAAAAATAAAAATAAAAATAAATAAACACTTTGTGTTTGTTTGTTTTTGTTTTTCAAATTTTTGAACTCTAGATTGTTTATTGGAGTTTATTTGTGGAGATTTTTTGAGATAGCCCTGTAATGCTATATTTTCCTTTTAAGATTGCTTTCATAGTGTTCCACAGATTTTGAATTGTTGTGGTCTCATTTTCATTTGTTGCAAGGTGCCTTCTCATTGCTTCCTTTACCTCAGTGTTGACTTACTGATTCTTTAATATCATGTTACTTAGCTTCCATGTCTTTGTGTGTTTTTCAGGGTACTTCTTAGGATTGATTTCCACTTCCACAGGATTGAGGTCAGATTAAAATCTTGATATGATTTCAGCCTTCTTGAATTTCTTGAGACTTTTTTTATATCCTAACATGTGGCATATCCTAGAAAAAGTTCCATGGGCCCTTGAAGAATATGTATATTCTACTGCTTTGGAATGAAATGCTCTGAAGATATCAAATAAATCCTTCTGATGCAATGTAATTTCAGGCCATGGTATCCTTGTTGGTTTTCTGTCTGGAAGATCTATCCACTGAAGTCAATGGAGTGTTAGAAGCCCTGACTGGGACTATTTTTCTGTCATCCTCTCCCTTTATGTCCATAGATATTTGCTCTACATGTTTAGGTGCTCCTCTATTGGGTGTGTAATTATTAATTCGGGTTAAATCCTCTTGCTGGAGTGTTTCTTCTATCAGTATGTAATGGCTTTCTCTGTCATTTAATATAGCCTTGGTTAAAAGTGTATTTTGTTGGATAGTAATGCAACCCAGCTTTTTCTTTTCTTTCTCTTTGCATAAAATGACTCTATCCATTCCTATACTTTCAGACTGTGTGTATCTTTTGATCTGAAGTGGGTTTTGAGGGAACATGTGTATGGGTCTTGTTTTCTTACCCATTCACCTACCCTATGTCTTTTGGTTGGAGCATTAAAGCCATTTATGTTTAAAGCAACTATTGATAGATACGTATTTAGTGCCATTTTATTTTAACCCTACTTTCCTCTTTTCTTTCTTAATTTCCCTTATTTCTCCTTCTTCTCCTTTTCCTTCTTCTTCCTCTTCTCCTCCTCCTCCTCCTCCTTCTCCTCCTCCTTCTCCTCCTCTTTTTACTTCTAATTCTCTTTGTCCTTCAACTTAAAGAAAGTTCTTTAACATTAGGTGCTGTACCGTTTGGTGTTAACAAACTCCTTTAACTTTTTCTTGTCTGTGAAGTTTCTTATTTCTTCTTCATTTTGAAATGATAGCCTTTCTGGGCCAGGTAGCCTTGGTTGTAGGCCCTTGCTTTTCATCACCTTGAACATTTCACACCGCATGCTTCTGGTGAAAGATTGAAAATGTTACCCTTACCATAAGCCAAAATACTACCAATATCACTGCAACATTGAACATTGTACTGGATGTTCTAGGCAAAACTGTTAGGCAAAAATCAAAAGGCATTCAAACTGGAAAGGAAACAATAAAAATGTCTCTACTCACAGATGATATTATTTTTTTTAATTTGGAAAGTCCCAAGAATCCACAGGGTGGCTTCTAAAGTTAATGGATAAATTCAGGAAACTCATAGGGTACTAGATTAGCAATAGAAAAAGATTTTTTTCTATATATCAATATTGAACAATCTCAAAGGGAAATAGGAGAGCAAATCTATTTACAAAACTCCAAAAAGAATTAAATACTAAGGAATAAATCAAACTAAGTAAGTAAAGGACTTATATGCTGAAAAGTACAACACATTGCTAAAAGAAATTAAAGAATACCTAAATAAATGGAAAGACATCTTGTGTTCATGGATAGGAAGCTAAACATTTTTAAGACCTCAAAATCTCCCACATTATTTCAATTTTAACAAAAATTCCGATTTATTTTCTAAGATTTAGAAAAGGCTATTCTCTATATATCTAAGAGAATTGAAAGCAGGACACAGATACTTGTACACTGATGTTTATAGCAGTATTATTTATAATAGACAAAAGGAGGAAACCATCTGAGAGCCCATCAAGAAATGAATCAGAAATGAAAATGTGACATACACATGCAATGAAATCTTATTGAGCCATAAAAAGAAGTGAAGTTTGGACATATGCTACAAAATGGATGGACTTTGGAAACATTGTGCTAAGTGAAACAAGCCAACAAACATGGGTAAATATTACATAATTTCATGTATATTAGGCACCAAAATAAGAAATAGAGGTTGCTAGGGACTGGAAGGAGGGAAGAAGAGAGAGTTATTATTTAAAGAGTACTGAGCTTTTGTTGAGGATGATGAAAAGTTTTGGATACAATCAGTGCTGGTGTTTATGTAGCATAGGGAACACATTTATTTCCATTGAACTGTGTATACTTATGAGTGGTTAAAACAATAATTATTGTATTAAGCATATTTTATCATGAAAGAAGACTGTATGGGGGAAAGTAAATTTTCTGAGAGCTTTAAATAATTACTGAAAAGCTCACAATCCCAGAAAAAATATGAGAAAAATACTGTAAGAAAAAAGATTAAATATTAGTACTCTATCTGTTTAAAAAGAAATTAAACCAACCTCAAAAAATTACCATTGGTTTAGTTTTCCACTTTTATCATTATTTTTTGTATTGTTGTAGTTTGAATGAAACAAAATGAAATGCTGACGATAGATTGTTTTCAAAATGACAACGATCCTAACAAGGTTGAGATGAGTGTGTCTCAAACTGTCTGTGGTGAAGGGCCTGCTCTGTCATTTTCCCAGGACATCACAGACTGAGATGGGGCCCTATGTGCACAGTACCAGCTTCCTTCACAAGCAGCTCAGCACTGAGTTTCAACAGCCCCTATATGTCAGCTAAGTGTCTGATTGATATTGTCCCGGATTGTGAACAAACAGCTCACAGACACACAGCACAGAGACCACACTTTGAACAGCACCTGCAGTCAGGCAGACCATCTACTATAATAGCTATAGTCCTGGGTAGAGTCCCAAGGTGACATTGAGACACCTCCACATCAGCCACACTGTACTTCTTTCCGTGCCCAGGTTCCCTGAAGACTACCTGAGGCAGCAAAGGCTTCTGATGGTGGGAGATTTAGCATCCAAGGTGGGGTCCACAGGACACTGGGAACCAGTGGATGGTCTATGAAGCTCCTGAGGTGTGAGTTTCAGAGCCCTCATTTGAATGCACCTGCTGAATAAATAAGTACTCTCATACCTAAGTTTTCATAATATTTAAAATAATTTTTAAATTACAGTTGACACTATGATACTAGTTTCAGGTGTATGACATTGTGATTAGACATTTACATAATTTAAAAAGTGATCACTTCCATAAACCTATTGAATAGTATCCATCTGACACCACACACAGTTATTACAATATCATTGACTATATTCCCTATGCCATATTTTACATCATCATGATGATATTGTAACAACCAATTTATGTTTCAGACCCCTGCTTGCAGAGAAGCTGGGGCTCAGACTCAAGGTCACACCCCCTACTAGAAGCACTGAAAGCTCTCCAAGCTGCCCAGCTTGAGGCTGTGGTGGCCCCACTGCAGGGGACAGAGCCAGAGAGCAAGGGTCAGCAGGGCCTGGGGGCTGGCAAAATGCCTGGACTCATGGTGGGCTCCTAGGCTCAGGAGGAGGAGGAGGCAGTGTCTGAGGAGGAGGAGGGGGAGGAGAGGAGGAGGCCATGGCCTCTGTGCCCTCCGCTGAGACCAATAAACTACCGATAGACGGATCGGGCACTGAGGAAGAGGAGCTGACACCATGGAGTGGAAGATGGGGTTGGGGGGAATGGTAGCATCAGTGTCACTGGCTGCAAGATCTCCACCCACTTACAAGGTTACTATAAACTCACAGTCATCTCTCAGGTGTCTCAGCAGGGCCCCTACAGGCAGGGATGGAATCCCTGTGGTCCAACATCGTGGCCTTGCAGAATGTCAAACACCACCAGGTAGAAGAGGTGCTGCAGGAGCAGGCAGTGAGCAGAAGCGGCCTTGCTGGGAGTCCAGAGAACATGGTCACCATCAGGCCTCTGGGGCTCCTGGAAGACCAAAGACCTGGGAGCAGAAGTTTGGTGGCTTTTGCTTACCCCTGCCTCAGCTGGAGATCCGGAAGCACCTAAGGGTCCTCGAGGGTCCTCTGGGCACGCCCCTCCCCCAGAACCTTGCCAAGCACCTTCCTTCCTCGAGCCCAACCCCCAGCCCCCAACTGGGAGTTCCCAGTGTATCCTAGCAACAGGCCCAACAGTTGGCTCTTGGCTTTCAACAGTGTTGTTGGCTACTGAAGGAGCTTGCTGAGATCCGGCTGTTTGTTCGCTATTTGTTCGAGGACAGACCTCATGAAGCGCCCAACGGGCACTTACCTGGGCAGACTCTGCCCCCATCCCCGACCCCAGGTCCGGGGAAGCCAGTGTGGTGATCACCTCGCCCACCAGCTGGTCCCGCAGCAGCAGCAGCCAGTTGTCCATTCTCCTCCACGCTGCCCTAAGTACCTGCGGATTTGGCGGCCATGGCCTGTTGTAACATTCCTGAGACTGTGTGGGAGGATCCACCGGGCCCAGTGCCTTTTCCTGGCGGTCCTTACTTCCTTCTGCAGGTGGTGCTATCAGAGGGCCTTTGGACAAAGGAGAGTGATGCCTCAGCAGGAGCAGGACCCCAGAGTCACAGAGAGGGAGGCCCATCAGGAAAGGGGCCCAGAACACGGAAGCCACCCGAAACCCCAGGCCTCTGTGAGGAGCTCCTGCTGCAAACGGAACGCCATCACCAGCTCCTACAGCTCCACTCGAGGCTTCCCGCCAGTGGAGAGGAGGAGGCAGCCCGCCACTCGCCAGGCCAGGCTGCCCCAGAGGCTCACAAAGACAGTGAGCCAGCAGGGCCCTCAGGCTCCCTCCTCCAGTGTCCAGTCATCTCAGAGGAAGAGCCAGCCTGACAGTGGCCCAGGTGACACCTGCGGTCAGAGACCATCCTCCTCCAGTTGCCAGTTATCTCAGAGGAAGAGCCAGCCTGACAGTGGCCCAGGTGACACCCGTGGTCACAGGCCACCCTCCTCCAGTGTCCAGTCATCTCAGAGGAAGAGCCAGCCTGACAGTGACCCAGGTGACACCCACGGTCAGAGACCATCCTCAAGGAGGCGCTCACCTTCCGGTGACAGGCCCCGAAAGAGGAAGTTTCCTCTGCTGCCACGCAGGCGAGGGGACCCCCTGAGGCTGCCACCAGCGCCTGAGCTGGGTTACAGAGTCAGGCCTGAAGACTTGGATGCTGAGAAGAAGGCAATCTGGCAGCGCATCAACAGCGCTCTGCGGGGTGACCCAAGGCCATGTCGGGCTGCGGTGCTCCACAGCCTCTGAGGTCCTCCCTGCAGCCTGCCCCGGGGACTGCTCCCGCTCATATTCCCAGCATCCCTTGGTCCACCAGCCTGCCAGTCACCTCCTCAGGCAGTGCGGGCCCCTCAGCCTGCACACCCACAGCCATGGCCCCCAAGACTTCTTCGGACTTGGACATCACCCTGATAGACACCACCCCAGTTGACACGACCCCAATGGACACGACCCCAGTAGACACCACCACTATGGACACGACCCATATGGACACACGTCACCTACCTACGCTCATTTCTCAGGGGCTCCTCGGGTCTCCACAGGTGGAAAACAGGCAACTGTGGCCCCAGCCCAGGCCCCAACCTCTACTGCAGGCCAGACAGCCCTGGGCAGCACCACACAGGTCACCTTGGGCACACAGGCCGCCACACAGTCCAGCACACAGGCGGGCACACAGGCCGGCACACAGGCAGGCACCCAGACCAGCACACAGGCAGGCACACAGGCCAGCACACAGTCCAGCACACAGTCCGGCACACAGGCAGGCACACAGTCCAGCACACAGGCAGGCACACAGGCAGGCACACAGGCCAGCACCGGGTCAGCTACTGCTGCCCCTGGTCCCTCTGGCACAGCCACTCAGAGCATTGGGGGAACCCTGGGCCGGACCTCCCGGAAGCGCTCTAGCCAACGCACCCTTGTAGTTGCTACAGGCCCCAACCCTCAGAACAACCCTGTGCTTGGGGGCACCACTGCCCCCATGTTAACTCCCCTCCCAGGAGGTGCACCCAAGCACAGCGCCCACCCTTCCAGTGGAGGGCTGGGCACCACCAGCAACGTGGCATCCAGTGGGGGGTCCCTCCCAGCCTCCACCCCCAGCTACCCTGCCACTGCTGTGGGCACCTCCAGAGCTGGTAGGACCACCAGCCTACCAATCACTTGGGCAGTTGGTGCGGTCCCATCAACCAGCAAGTCCTGGGGCTTGGCTCCCAATCCTGCCTCCCACACAGATGTCACCCCCATGGACACCACCCCACCTAAGTAGCTTCCTCTTGGGGGCTCCTCTCTGTCACCAGCAGGAAAACCTTGCAGTTTTGGCCGCACCATCGCTTTGTCAGAAAACCTTTGGGTCATCAACCGAGTTTTTATTGAAGAAGGAAGAATTCTCTTTGAGCCCCAGTGCAGGGCCTTTTTTCTGCTAGGTGTCAGCCAAGAACATCATGAAACCCAAGACAGGGTCACAGCACAGGCTTTGTTCAGCAGCCAGAGAATGGTGAAGAGGGAGCTGATATGAACTCTCAAATCTACTTCTCCTTTCTCTGGGGTCCGAGAGGTTGTACTGTCTATAACAGGAGGTTGGAGATGAAGGGGTGGTGCAGGCAAATATGAAGGAGGAATCTTGGTCTCTTTCCAGAGCAAAGGAAGCTGGCAACTACAGAAACCAAAGGAGGCAGAATTGGTAAGATCTTGGGCAGTGGGATGGCCTGCTTTCTCCTCTCACATCATGTCACAGTGCTGTGACTTGAAGAGACCAAGCAGGACAGCACAGTCTCACAGGTGCTGATGCCAAAGCTGCAGCCTGTGTTTGCTGGCTGGGCCAGGGCCCCTGCTCCCCTGAGCTCATCCTCAGCTTGGCTGACCCATCCCCTCCTTAGTGCTGCACAGGTACTCCTGCCTGGGCTGCAGAGTCCCCCAGGGGAGCAGGGGCACAGTTACTTGTTTAGAGTTGATATTTTAGTAGAACTGAGAATAGTTTATTTAAGATTCAATCATCTTTAAATCAATAGTGTTTTACTTTTAATTGTTTTTGTCAAACATTTAAAAATATTTTATTTATTTATCCTTAGAGGGGAAGGGAAGGAGAGAGGGAGAGAAATATCAGTGTATGGTTGCCTCTCGTTAGTCCCCTCCTGGGAACTTGTCTGCAACCCAGGCATGTGCCCTGACTGGGGAATGGAACTGTGGTTGTTTGGTTCACAGGCCCGGGCTCAATCCACTGAGCTACACCAGCTAGGGCTACTTTTAATTGTGTACTTGTATTTCCTTGTATGGATCTATGCCAGTTTTTTTATTCACATGCCATGAAAGATCTGATGATTTTCAAAATGGTTTTTTAAGCTAACTATTATAATAGGTGAATATTGGTATTTCATTTGAGGCATTAAGTTGCCCCATAGTTTCTGAATTACTAATGAGAGCTTTCTCATATGCTTATTACCATCCATATATTTTCCTTGGGGCAGAATCTTCAGATCTCTATCTCACTTAAAATATTCAGTTTTGGGGGGTTTTTTATCTAAAAATTTTTCACATATCCAGGCATATCAAAAGTGTGAGTCCTCTGATTTGTCCTTTTTCAACTTTGCTTTGGGTATTTTGGGGCTCCTTTCAATTCCATGTAAATTTGATGACCAGTTTTTTATTTATATAAAAAGGTTGATGAAATTTGATTGAAATTGCTTCAAATATGTACTTATTGAGACAGTATTGACATCTCAATCATTTGCCTTTTAATCCATGAAAACAGGATGTCATTCTCTTTATTTAAACATTTTTAATGTCTTTCATCCATTCTTCATAGTTTTCAACATACAAGCCTTTCATATCCTTGCTTTTAAGTTTTTTTCTGAATATTTAGTTCTTTTAGGTGCTATTGAGAATGGAATTGAGTTTTAATTTTCCTCATGGATGGTTGTAGCTAATATATAGAAATACAACTGGTTTTTCTATGTTGACCTTATGGCCTGCAAATTTGCTCAGTGTGTATGTTGTTACCACTAGTAAATTTATGGTGGATCCTTTGGAAGATTATATATATATGTATATATCATATATATCATATATATATATGATTGCATATATATCATATATATATATGGAATCATGCCACCTGTGATATAGTTGACTTCTTCCTTCAGATTTAGATGCCTTTTTATTTTTTATTTTTCTTGTCTAATTGCTCTGGCTGGAAATTTAGTATAATATTGAAAAGTGGTGCTGAAAATGAGCATCCTTGTTTTTTTCCTCATCCCAGGAAAATATTTTAGTCTTTCAACTTCGTTTACAAATTTATCTGTGGAATTTTCATTGGTTCCTTCTATTACATTGAGGAAGTTCCTGTCTATTCATGTTTTTCTGTGTTTTCATCATGAAAGCGTTTTAGATGTTGTTAAGTGTTTTTTTTTGTATTACTTGAGGTAATCAATAATTAAGTTCATTTCATCAATATCTATTATATAGAGTGATTTTCTTGTATCGACCTCTTCTTGCATTCATGGGATAAATCCTACTTGTTCATGGCATATAATTTTTTTCTATGCTTCAGAATGAGTGTGTTAGTATTTTGTTGAGAAGCTTCTCATCTATATTCATAAAGTGTAATGGATATTATAATTTTCCTTTGGTGTCCTTATCTGGTTTTGGAATAAGAGAAATGCCTGTCTCATGAAATGAGTAAGAAGTGTCCCCTTCTATTCTGTTTTGAAAAAGTCTGAGAAATATTGGAGTCAATTCTTTGTCAGTGTTTGTTAGTGTTCTTCAACTCTTTTTCTTTCTTTTTTTATCCTCACTTGATGATATTTTTTATTGCTCTTTAGAAAGAGAAGAAGGTAGAGAGAGAGGCATCAATTGGTGGACATCCTGTGTATGCCATGACCAGAGTATGACTTCACAACCTAGGTATGTGCCCTGACCAGGAATCATCTCTTTCAGTGAAGGGGTGACCATCCAACCAACTGAGCCACATCAGCCAGGGTTCAAGTCTTAGTTTTCATGTAAGTGTTTACAGCTCCATATTATTTTCATTCAGCACTGCTTTTCCTGCATCCCATAAGTTTTGATACACCATGTCTTCAGTTTCCTCAGTCTCTAAGCTCTTCCAGCATATTTAAGACAGTTGATGGAAGTCTTTGCCTATATTATCTGAACTTGCTCAGAAGTGTTTCAGTCAGTATATTTATTTTTATCAATGGGCAATACTTTCCTAATTTCTTTCCTAATTTGCTGATGCCTTGTGATGTTCTTCTTGAAAACAGAATGTACCTGTGGAAATCAGATTTTCCCCTTGTGCAGGCTTTGACTTTTTTGTGTGACTGTTGAAGGCTATATAGTAGTCCATGTGTTTCATGAGTTTACTCAACTGTTTTCACAGAGAATGTATTTCTTGGTGTGGTGGTCACTGAAGACTGTTCTTTAACTTATGTTCAGGGAGTGTTTTGACCAAGATTTCCTTGAATCCCAGGAGGCAGAAAAAGAGAGAGCAACCCTTTGGAAGTCTTTGTAGATTGGCTGTGTTAGGACTCAGCACTTAGCCAGGTTTGCACTGTT